AGAGAATTACCAGCATAAAGGATACTGTGTGTTTCTTTTTGGCACTGAGATGAAGCTGCGTGGAACACAGGCTTGGATGACTTTTCAGTCAGGTGCAGGGACGTGTAATGCTCATCTTAGATGTTGTGCTGACAAGAAGAGCAGAGAGGTAAATGTTATGGAGTTGCATGCTACTTTTTCTTTTTTTTTTGAGTCATAACCGAGGAACCATGGAAGCGTTACCCAGACAAAATGAGCATTTGTCACCTGTTTCTACCAATGACACAGGCAGTGGAAGTCAGCATCCCAAGCATCCATGAAACCCCTGCACAGGACTGGTGAGAGTTCCCTGGCGCCGTCCTCTGGCAATCTCAGGTCTCTCTGTAAGCTCCCAAGCTGTGTCGTAACTCCTCCCGTGGTGCTGACTCAGCTCTCCCAGTCTTTTGTGGGGGAGAGCTGGAGTTGAACTCCTTCCTGCTTCCTGCCTCTGTCCTCCCTGCTTTGCCCATGGCCTGATAGGATTTTATTCCTCGCACCCAGATTGGCACGTGTGGATAAGTTAATGTACATTTATTTTCTGCTTGTGGTGTCAGGCTGAGGGACAGCTCACAGCTGAGCTTGTGGTTCGTGAGACACACGACAGCTGGAGATGCACTTCTGTGTGTCACTAAAGCACGAGCCTCACGGCTGCCACGAGCAAAGAAACAGAGTTGTGTGCTTTACTTCTCTGCTTGCTGCTTTCAAAATACTGTGCTGTCTGCTTCTGGCGTTCAAAATCCTGTAACTGTGAGATGTAAATACTTTGTTTAGTTGACATGTGCAGGTGTCCTTCTTCTGAACCATGCCTGTATGCTTCTGTGCATAACCACAACCTTTGCCTCTTTCTTTTCTTCTTTCTTTGTTGTGTTTGACACTCTGCAAGTTCTGAATTGCCGGGGAACAGCTCAAAGTGCCCTGGAGTTCTGGGGGACAAGCTCTCAAGAAACACTGTGCAGCTTCAAAGCCCCAAGGCCTGGGGAGATGAGAGATGCACGGCGCTCTGCCTGGTGCAGGACACGATGTGCTCCGCAAGGCCTTTCCACGGAGGCCTCAGATCCGTGCTCAAACTGCTTTCTAAGCAACCCAGTGCCCTTTGCTGCTTGTACTCAGAGGTATTGGTGCCAGGAGTTGCTGCACTAAAAGGACATTTTGTCAGCAGCGTGACGTTAAAGGTATCCCATGCTCTCAGTCATTGAAAGCATCCTTGCACATGTTTTTATTGAGGGAAAGGTTTCATTGACGCCATACGTTGTTTTATGGAAAATGAAACAGTTGAATTGTGTAACTCAAGCCCATTTTCATTTCCTCCTGACCGCAGTGCACTTCATGTTGCTCCCGTTGCCCTGGCTGGTTGAAGCCAGCGGGGGGCTCAGCACCACACAGTCCTTCGCTGACTCCTCTCTTCCCTGTGGAATTGGGTGGAAAGAGAAAAGTCGAAGTAATGTGCTGAGATAAAACCGTTTACTAAGATAAAAAGATAGTAGTTACGTATGTACACATCTTTGAATATATATACATATGAATAAATTACAAGTGATGTACAAGCAGTGGCTCACCACCCGCCAACCAGTGTCCAGCTAGCTGTTTACATCAGCTGTCTTCATTCTCTTCCCTCCCAGCCTCTTGCTGAGAGCTTTGCTGAGAATGGCCTTGGCTCTGTGCAACTTTGCTTATCAGAATCTGTAAACATCAGAGTGTTATCAGTGTGATTTTTCTCCTAGAGCCCAAACATACCATCATACCAGATACTCTGAAGAAAATCCCTCCACCTGAGACGAAGGCAGCCCCCCAGTGCCCGTGCAGTGAGCCACGTGGGGCTGCAGGCGGTGCATTTCCCTGGCAGCGTTGGCCAGGGGAGCTGGGGAGGTTTTGCTGCTCAGCTTGGATGCTGCAGCACTGCTGTGCCTGTCCAAGCAGCGTGCTGCGTGCCCTCTGAGCAACAAAGCAGCATTTCATCAACAATGTGCCATACTAACTCCTGGAACCAGATGTGTTTGCCTCTCTCAGGCTGGGTTTACCCCACGAGCTCTTCTTGTAGTAGCTGTTCTGAATTTCACTGTAGGCATGCAAGCAGAAGTGCTTTTCCCCCTTGTGTTCTGTCCCATGGTATTTGCCCTGTGGTTGGTAGAAGAAGGAGCTGATGGAGTCAGCAGTACATTCCGTTCATGTGCCCTCTGGTGCTTCATGCCTGGAGCTCACTGCTGCACAGGAGAGTGCACGCGTGTTTATTCCAGGGCTGCAGTAAACGGATGGCATAGCAGTGAGCAGCACCTAGCGGGCTCTGCAGAGGATGGCTTTGCAGAAGGAGCAGGAGTGCCTGCGTCCACCTGTGTCCTCGGATCGGTTCTGGCAGCGGTGCACCAGCTGTGGGCACAGTGACTGCATGCAGGGCTCGGCTCGGGGCTGCTGTGTGGCACATGTGGAAGGCCAAATCCTTCCAGATTCTGTGCTGAAAGCAGCCCAGAGGCAACATCTCCTTGGTCTGACTGTGTGGTGCCTGGGCCAGGGGTTTATCTGAGCTGGGTGCAGAAGAGTCATCTTGATTTCTCTGTTGTTTTACTTAAGATAACCCCATTGGGTGACCATTCTGTTTTTTCTTAACATTTGGATCTGGGAGGTGACCCCCTCCCTTTGCTTACAATGAAAGCACAGAAGTGCTGCAGGCATTCACCAAGGTTGCAATCATTGCTGGGGTAGGAGCGTTTATTCCACAGCTGCTGAGCAGAGCTGGTGCTCTGGTGAGAGTGCTGCATGCGGAAGCAGAGCTTTGGGCCTCCTTGGAAGAGATCACCATGTGAGAGCCCAACAGAAGCACCGCTGCAGCACGCGCATGAGCCGGGCACAGCTCAGGCTGAGCTGGGTGGTTGATGGGAGGCGTCTCAGCAGAAAAGCTGAGTGGGCACACGGCGCCAGCCCTCATCCCAGCTGGCAGGGAGGGTGGGTAGAGGCTGGTGGGTGCCGCCCGCTCTTGCTGCTGCGCTGTGTGGCACAGCAGCACGCTGGTCAGTGGCCTGGGAGGGAGACGGACTGCTGCTGTGCCTGGCTGAGCCAGAGCTGGAGTTTTGTCAAACACGTGAGTCGTGCCGGTGAAGCTGTTGCGGCTGCAGCAGGAGTGGAAGACAAAGGGAGCTTTCTTCATGAAAGCAACAGCAGTTATTCCATTTCAATGTATAACTGCTAGGAAGATGGTGAGGAACAGATCCATCTCAAGGACATGCTGGATCGTAAGAGGAAGGAGCGTGTGATCTAAGTCAGCTACCACAGCTTCAGCAGGGGAAGGTCATGAGTAACCACTGTGGTGTCCTTCCATGGTGGCATTGGTGGGATGTAGAGTTGATGGGTGGACCGCACGATGGATAAGAAGTTGATTGAAAGGCTGCAGACTGAGGATGGTGATCAATGGTTTTATGTTGAGGTGGAGGCCGGTAACAAGCAGCATCCCCCCGGGGTCTGTCCTGGGACCAGTGCTCTTTATCAGAGACATCGATAACGGAATCGAGTGCACCCTCAGCAAGTTTGCTGACAACACCAAGCTGAGTGGTGCGGTTGACACAATGACAAATATTTCTATGTTTTTATGTATCTGCCTCCCACAGTTTCCCCCCTTTTTTTTTTTTACCCTTTTGTGTTATGACTTGTCAACCCCACAGTGTACTCCAGCTCACAGTATCCTACCAAAATCCTCAGTGTCCTTCAGGCTGCCCAAGAAGTTTCCAAGTTAATCCCAGGTGCTTCCAGGGCCACCCCAAAGTACTCCCTATGCCAATCTGTCTCCTTTTTTGGACAAACAGGGGAGGGCCACTGCCTCACTCCCACAGCCTCAGCATTTCCCTCCCACCGGCAGCCCGGTCAGCACGAATGCTTCACTGGGGTGCATCACTGCCCTTGGCCTTTGCCATCCAGGAAGCTTGTTAGCATGTGGAGGGCTGCAGCCCCCCTGCAGCTCCTTAGGGTGGATCTGGGGCTCTCCTGTGCTGGTGGTGGTGGGGAGAAGCAGGGGCTGTGCCCCAAGCACCAGCTGCACAGAACTCCCTTCTGCTGGAATACCAGCTTTATCCCTGTCACTGCTCCTGCCCTTGGCCAAGTTGGTGTCAGTAAGCCAGTGAATACTGCTGCAGCTTACCTTGGCTTTCTCTGGAGGGAAAGAAGGGCTCTGTGCAGCTGCAGGGGGATTGCTTCTCAGCTGGTAAGAGGAGGGACAGTCTGGGCCTGCCCTAAAGGCCTTCCTGTGCGCCCACTGCTTTTGTTGGAGGGAGAGAGCAAAGCCACGAGCCCTGCCCCATTCTGGATAACTGGCATACTGTTATCCTCACAGGTAACAAGCAAGAGCTACAGATTGGAGCCGAGCTGCTGGCAACAAAAAACACAGCTTGTCATACCAAGCCTGCTAAGAGGTAAAGGGTGACTGCCTCCTGCAGCTGCTACAGCCCAAGACCACTCCTGAGCAGCCACTGGTAGTAGCCCAATGTCTGGGGACCCACCATCTTTGCTGCCACTCTCCCATTTGCAGATTCAACCATAAATGAAACTAAGCACATGACCTAGAGACACAGACAGGATGCTGACAGTCAGCTACACAGACAAGATGCTGCCTTCACCAGCACCCAGACACAGCAATCATGCACAACACACACAGTGAAATCCTTTTCCTCTCCTTTGGCTTGTAGAGACAGAAAGTCACCAGCGCAGGCACACACAGTCCTCAAGCTGCAAAAGCACACGTTCAAGCACTGATACAGCCTCTCTGTCCAGACAGCACCCCTGCTTGGATCCCTTAAGTAGCAGCACAGTGTCTCTGTCCAATACACACAGGCAGATCTCAGGCCCTTAACACAGAATGGCTAAAATTGGAAGGGTCCCCTGGAGATCATCCCCTATGTGGCTGGAAGTAAGATAACCTGGACTCCAAAGCTGGCACCAAAGTTTTGCTACTTGCACAGGTCTCAGCAGCCCTTGCAACAATACAAACACATAGGGCAGTGTGTGAATATACAGAGTGAGTTCAGATTTAATAAGAAATTATAATAAAACAGATTGTAGTCAACAGATGCAGATGCCAGACAAGCCCTGACCAATTCTATTTCACACACAACTTTTATAACCTTGATTTTCCAGCATCTTCACTCTGTTCATCCCTGGTTCCCCTTTTCTTTGAGCACCTCACCATGGGTTTGCAGGCTCTACTGAGTCCCACGCTGTCCCAGATTATCAGAGATTTGTTTCTTGACATTTCTCCATGTTTGTTTTGTCAGGTCTATGTCATCGTTTATTCTGGTTTCTTTTTCCTTTAGTTTCCCACTCAATAAAGTCCCTAGTCAGATAACCTTGCTGGAATAAGCATTCTCACACACTTACACCTGCCCATAAAACTGACTGACCGGGCAGCTTCCCATTATGGCCTTCCTTATCATTTGCTGGTCCGTTCCTGCTTACGTCTTCCTCCCTTTCCCATTTTCCCCTTGTTGCACTGTAAATTAGTATTTGACCAGATATCCCTAAAGGAATAGACACTCCTTCCATACACCCTTACAAAGGCCTTTAGAAACATTCAGGTATGACTAATGACACATTCTGTTTCACATTTAGTGATGCTGGGTTGCATATTTCCAACGGCTTCTTGACGCAGTGACTTCTCGCTAGCTTCAAGTCAGCACTGTGCAAACTTACATCACTTTTGAACACAGCAGAGCTCCTTATTTCACCTCTAAGGGCTACAGAGCTAGTTCTGGAAAAATACTCTTTGAAACAACACAAAAAAGGACTGAAAAAAAAAAAAAAAGAAAAAGAAGACAGACAGATGAGGTATGCAACCCCTTGACAGAACTTCACTTCTTAATCCCTTCTCCTTATCCCACCTTTACAGATGTGTTCAGGATACAAAAAACGTTGCAAGTAACATTTTGTTGCTCTTGGACATGCAGGTAAGCAGATGTCACACCATGGTGGAGCATTACAGTTCAGTCCTGTTTGGTCCCTGTCAGTGGCTGGTCAGAATGCTGCTGAGGTTCAGTGAGATAGGATTTGGATTCAAGTGTGTCCCAAAGGAGAAGCAGTTCCCACCACCACCAATAAGCAGCAACTCCTTCTCATCTGGCAGAAAAACACTGCTATGATTATGCAGCATTAAAGGCCACTCCAAATGTTCCTGAAAAAGAAGAGGAATTCAAATTTCTTAGGATGAAACACAAGCTTGCATAGTCTAGAGGACACCACAGTCACATTATGGAGAGGTACACAAAGGCCAAGACGATGAACTGGACACTGAGGAAACGGATGCCTGAACAAAGTGCCCAAGACACAGAACGAATGGCTTGTCCAAATGACTCAAAAATCAAAATCCTAGCGTGAAACTTCTTTTTTCCCCCACTAGGAAGCAAAGGGAAGAGGATTCACTTCGTCAGTCAGGCATTTGGTAAATACAGTTTCAATTACTGCTTCCACCAAACGAGATCTCACTTAGAAAGTAATCCTTGAACATAAAGGACTTCAACAGATATCACCTCATACAGTACTGTAGAAGTATTTCATATAGCTACTCTCACTGGAAAATTAAGAATAGCCACGATACATCCATTGGGAACCAGCCAGCTGATCAACTACAGCACCCACAACAGTGACAAAAAGAGAAGAACATAACAGCAAGGAGACCATGATGTGCTCCTCAAGGAATAGTCAATTCACTAAACAACTTTCAGTTCAGTGTCTGAGAATGAGAAAATGTCTTTGTACTCATCAGGCCCTTAGAATTACTGGACAAGAAAAGCACCAGGAGCAGTCAGCACGGATTCACCAAGGGGAACTGGTGATCCATACCATAAAGCCCACTTGGAGGGGTGACAGCTGGGACCGTCCCCTCTGACATCTCCATTGCTTATCAGCAAGTCTGCAGGTGACACAAAGCTGGGAGCAGCAGCAGATACAGCACTGCCATGCTGGCATCCGGAGGGACTGTGATGGGCTGGAGAAATGGACTGACAGAAGCCTCCCAGAGTTAAGGAGAAACGTGAAGCCCTGAGCAGACCCAGGCACCAGGACATGCTGGGACGACCCACCTGGAAAGCAGTTGTGCAGAAAAGGACCTGGGAGTCCTGGTGGACACCAAAGCCATAACACCAGCAGTAATATTAACTACACAGAAAGTCACTGATGTTTCCAGTCTTCCAAAACTCGAGACCAATCCGCACTGGGCACTACGTACCTACTAGTACAAGGCTTTAGCACAGCACTGGCAGACACTGCAGCCTAGTTCGAGGAAAAACATCATAACCAAAGGCAGCTACTGATCAATCTGCACCCACTCACTCAGTAACATTTAGAAGTTATGTTATTTTAGATAAAACTTCATACTGTACTCGCTGCTATCAAACATGAGCAGCCTCTTTTATCCAAGGATATTAATTCCCTTCTAACTTCTGCTGTAGAGAATAAGAAAACACTACACTACACATAAGCATGCTTTATCCTTTATATTTTCAGGAAAATGCAGGAAAGTCAGCCAGGTGCACACATACTGCTTATATATTATAAAATATATTTTTACACATAGTAATCACAAATTCCAGTTTCATCTGTACACGTGGATCCTATCCTCGGTACCTCAGGAAAACTGTTACATCATGCAAACAGGGAAATGTTTATTCCACTCCTAAATTTGACTCCTTTGCATTCTCTATTCCATTTCTGGGAATGACCTTGAAGCTACTACTCTCTTTCACACAGTACTGCCTATCCTGAAAGAAAAATTCCAGTACTTACCGCATTAATTGTGTAGTCCAAGCACAGCCCAGTCATTAAGTCAACGACAGTGATGCCTGGCACGCACAGCGAGTGAAACCACACTCCACCAACAAGCACAAGTTTTCCATCGTGCACATGAGCAGTATGCGAGTACCTGCGAGTTTAACGCTCAGTTTATTCCATCAGTAAGGAGAGGCAGCTGGAGGCAGGCCTAGAATTCACCACTGCCTTCTGCTCACCTTGGGATGAGAGGAGGGTGCGTCTCCACAATCTGCCACCGAAAGCCCCGTTCAGCCTCCCTCAGAAGGAAAACTGAACTTAAGGGCTGCTCAGCTGCTCCCAGACCTCCGGCGATCAGCGCTCCTCCTTTCCAACTGCAGGCACTGTGCGAGTGGCGGCCTTCTGGTACCGGACCCTCAACAGCGATCTGTGGCAACAGAAGCACAAGCCTGAAGTTTGCCTCTATTCCAATTGCACTTGCTGTGGTTATGATATCAAACCCCTTCCCTTCCCAGCAGAGGACAGGAACAGCTGGGGAGGAGAACAGCCCGAATAAGCATGATAGGGAGCAACAAAAAAGCCTCCCATCTGCATGTGTGGGTGATTCCTCTAAGAATGGCTACACAGGAGTGTTTCCATCTACAGTATTTTCAATACTTCTCTGGCTTCAAGAATATAAGTTACTCAGTCATTACAGGGATTTAGTTCTGCATATTATTAGAAGCAACACTGTCCTTCTTGCATGCTCCTCTCACCTGAGAACCACAAGTTTACAACAACACGGGTCACAAAGCTGTGATCAGTGACTCAGAGCATGAAGCAAGAAAAGAAACTGAGCTGCAGGAGGAACGGGCAGAAAGAAAACCCTCAGGGCAAGACTGCTAAAACAATATCACAGAACTGGGAAAAAATTTCAGGGACCATTTTGTCCACCCTTCTCTCCTAAGGCAAACATAATGATATCTGTCGGCATCTGGCAAGAGTCATCCAGTAGTTTGTCAGGGCAGATTTTCAGAAGCATTTCTTGCAGCACTTTATTATCTCCACAATTAGAAGCTTTTCTCAGTATCTAGTTAAAGCTGTCCTTTCTATAGACTATCCAAAATAAATACAGAGAATAATTTGCCCTCTGCTGCTCTATTTTACATATTTGAAAAGCATTACTATCTTGAATCTTCTACCAACTCAGTAGCTCAGAGTTCTTCAATCTTCCCTGTAAATCTGAACGCACAGTTTAGTTCTTCCACAACAGCATCACGTTACTTACACGTTTAGCTTGTGATTTCTTGTTATCATCAACCTCTCACCCTGTGCTACTCACTATTTTTAAGCTCTGCTGATCTCTAAAGATCCAAATGAAACATACTAGTTTAATACAATAAACCAGAAGTCACTAATATCCATGGACCACTAACGAAATTCCAAGCATGGCTTCAGCGAGAGCCAGCCTGGACCTTCCAAATTCTAAGAGGAAAGGAATCAGGAACATTGGGGTTCAGGATACTCAGAGTGAGGGGGCCCACAGGACTACACAAAACTTATTAAAGACTTTTTAAGGCAAAGGGGATTGTTGAGGAATAAAGACGAAGAATAGACAGAAACAAGATTACAAGGGGGCTAATCACATATAAACAGTCTCTATTCAGTACAATTGCCTTACTGAGCCCCAGGCCTAGTCACCACAGTATATCTTACCTTTGATTAAATACCTTCCTAACTAGCTTTGCCAAAATACTCAGTACACATTAATAGGAGAGATACTGGGACTACGTGTCTGCAAGTACAGAGACATGAATTAGGAAACATAAGGCCAGCAGAGTCACTACTATGGTGAAGGACTGCAGGTTCTCTGGTTCCAGTGAGAGCAATTTCACGGCTCTCCAAGGCTTTGTATCCAGAGTGCCAGCTATTACTGCTCTATTGCAGAGACCAGTGGCAGTCTGGTCCTGTAGTGAGAGCCTCACCCAACAACTGGAACAAGTGAAGTTTCTAGCTTCAGTCACCAGGACAAGATGCTTAGTAACAGGAGCTGTGCAGGTCCTAGACACAAGAGCAACTCAGGCAACTGAAGCAAATCAGAGTCTCAGCACCAGCTGCTGGAGGACAACTAAGGGTCACAGGGCTCTTGTGCCCAGATGCCAGTTCCTGGAAAGGGGACCACTGTGTTTATTATTCCTTCCTTGAACCTCATATGTGTGGGACGTGCATCCCACATGTGCTAGAAAACTTGGAACTAATCCAGTCAGCTGTCAGCCTCCTACCTCCAGCACTTGGTCCAGGGTCTCAGACACACATAGGTATTGTTATTACACACCAGTATTCACAGGATCCGTGAGTGCAAGGTGCCTGTGAATTGTGTGCGTATCTGTTTGCTAGCAAATTTCAAGCCAGACTCAGAGCAGGCAGGAGGGCTCAGGATCTGGTCAGGGGTACCAGCTGTATACAGGGAATATCCTGATACATGAGGGAACTACAGATCTGCACATGCCTGTCAGTCTACAGAGTGAGGGCACATATGCGCTGATCTTCTCATAAGAACTTTAATTCTTATCAGACAAAGATGAGGAAGAGAAATGGGCTATCTACATTTTATGTGAGTGCTCGTAATGTTAAATGGGTGTTGCTGAAAGCATTATCTCATTGGCAGCAGTCGGTGCAGATGGCCACACCAGCACATCCCACATGTGCTCGTGTTCATGTGCACGTCTCTGGGATGTATGCTCACCTCCATTACTGGTTGAATCTGCAAATGGGAAAAGAAACTGCCATGCCTGCTGTCCTGGGACGAATACATCCCGGGTCCTGAGGCATACAGCACAGGGCTCCTTCCATGGAGGGAGGAATTCTCAGGCTCCACAGCTGCTGGAGCTGGTCACTACTTTTAACAGCTGTTAACAGAAGTTCCTCCATGCAGTTTGGAGTTCATAATCTATTTCTGTTTGAAAGACAGTCAACTTTCCCTGCATTTTTTTGGTGTTCTGTTGCTAACAACAGTAACTTCTAGGCATGTTACCTCCACGCACTTCAGCGATACCCAGAACAATCAGGGTATGATCAATGATAAAAAGGCATATCCAACGTACCGGCTGGTTGTGCTGCCAGAGATCAAACAGGCTGGAAAAATTGGAGGAATTGAAGCTCATCAAGCTCAACAATGGGATGTAAAAAGTTTTGAGCATGAGGAGAAACAATTCCAGACATCAGTCAGGTTGGAAAAAGACTTTTAAGATCAAGTCCAACACATGGAGCGCTGTGGCTAGTTCTGCATTCTTCAGTACAAGGAAACCAGGGAATTGATGCAGCGAGTCCAGAAAAGTACCACAAAGATAATTATGGGACAGGAACCTCACAAAGAGAACATTCACTGGGAAATGTTATCAATATGCATAAATGTCCAATGGGAGATGAAGGAGCATGAAGAAAGAACGTTCTCAGATGTATCCAAGACAGAACATGAGAAAATGGCCAGAAACTGAAATAAAAGAATTAGGAGAATTGCTTACACATTAAAAAACTCTCACGTTCCATTATGAGGGTGGTCAGCCATTGGAACAGGTTGCCGAGTCTCCATCCTTGAATGTAATCATAACCCAAGTGGACAATGACCTGAGCAATCTGTTCCAGTGGCCTTAAGGGGGCTGCACTAGATGACCTCCAGATGCCCTCCCTTACAACTGTTCTCTGCAGATTGCGATCCAGTAAATAGTGAAGCGTTTAGAAGTTCCTCAACACTAAACAGTGTGGAGTACAACAGCACTGCCGGTGCCATCTGCTTAAATGTACTGCTGTGGTTTAGCTGAGCTTCCAACACAGCAGCAATTTCTATCCCCAGTCTCCCTCAGCTCTTACCGTAGCACAGGAAATTTCTGGGACGTGCAGGAAATACCAATCCCCAAGCACTGGCTGCACAGCAGAGCGGCCTCCATACATAAACAGGTACTTCTCTCCTACAACCAGGTGGAAAGGTTAGAATTTGGTATGTTGCAAAAGCAAAAGGGTCTGCCTGAACGTAAGGAAAGCTGATCAAAGATATCTGCTCATGCAGTTTTGTAAGAAAGTGCCCTGCAACTTGACGAACATTTCGTATTTCCAAACTCCAGCAATAAATGCAATGAACTGTCCCATAGACACGGACGTTAGTCTTGTAAGACAAAAACAAACAAGAAGACCACACACAAGGCACATGGGTTGGAAGACTGAAAATATTTTCACTTAGATGATGTATTCCTTAGGCTTGTGATCATTCAGAAGACTTCTATCATCCACTCATTTATCATGCACTAACGGACTGTTCAAAGCCTGAACATTATTCAAAAAGCAAAGTCACAAAGCCAAAAAAGGAAAAAAAAAATGTTTTTTAGAATATACTTCATGGCAGCAAGAAATGAAAATTTGGGCAACTGAAAGAATCACAGAATCTTAGGGGTTGGAAGGGACCTCCAGAGCTCATGGAGTCCAACCCCTGCCAAAGCAGCTCCCCACAGCATGCTGCACAGGTCAGCGTCCAGGCAGGTCTGGAACATCTCCAGAGCAGGAGGCTCCACCACCCCCCTGGGCAGCCTGTTCCAGTGGCACGTGACAAAGTGATTCCAGTGACTCCATAATAAAACCAGACTACTCTTAAGAACACAAACTGTAGCAACACAACAACACAGATTTAACCAAAACAGTAACACAGGTGAAGCTTCATAAAACTAGAAGGTATATTTTTCCACACACAAAGAGAAAATAAAGGATAATTTAAATGAGTAGGAGACCTGAAGAGGTCTCAAAAAGGAGATATAAAAGGTATAAGAGTGCTCTGGGCACATGTCAGGGATGTGAGCCACATCCTCATAATGGACTTACAAGTAACATAATGTTGATTTTTCTACAAAGCACAATCGTGGCAAAAATGATGCAGTGCAGTCTAACAAAGATTTACAAAATACTTCATTTTCATAAAATGTTATTCCCCTGTTTAGCATCTACTTTTTTATAGAAAATTTAGTTTGGAAAGTTGAACTCTGAATTGCATTATGGTCTCGAACACTGTCTCACAAACCCAAAGTATGCTGCAGACTGAACTAATGACTGCCTTGTAATTCCTGGGGTGTTCTCCTGCAATAGCTCCTAGTGAAGAGTTAAACAGCTTAAGGACAGCTTCCACCTCCTGAATTTCACTGTCAATCTCACCAACAACTTGCTATTAGCTTGAAGTTTTTGCCCTTACAGTGAGTATCTTTTACTAGATGAGCCTGCAGCGTGTCATTGCCAATCTTGATTCTAGACCTCACAACTAATGAATAGTTACTAATTGCCACTAGAAGTACAGCATTTTTTCTGAGGCACTTGTGGAAAAAGCACTAGGCATCCTGCTCCACAGTGCTCTAGAACTAAAACACTGTCCTTTGGAGAGGAGGTTCTAGATCTTCTTTCTGGTGAGATGAAGCATGAAACACGTCAGTCATAAAATGAGCTCAAAGAATTACTCTTCCAGAACAGATTACATCCCCAGGTTCCAATTCTGCTTACCGCTGGAGATAACATGGCCTATGAAACAAGAAATTATCCTACTTCAAGAAGTAAGAGTTTCAAAAAGGGTGCTGTTTAATTTCTTTTCTCCTTTAGAGAGCACTCATTAGGTGATAGCAACAGCAAGTAGAGGAACACATCAGATCACCATCCTACATCTCATTTCCAGCAGGAGCCAAAAGCATTATGTCACTTTGATGCTTTGTCTTTCAATTCAGAAGCCCTGAACAGATTTTTCTTCTGTGAATTTAACCACTCTGCTTAAGTTCAGGTTAACTTTCAGTATATAGCATACTGCAACAAGCAGCTTCAGAGAATAATTGCAACACTTAACGAGGAAGATTTTCAGTTTTACTGAAATCTGCCTAACAATTCCAGCTGGTGCTTCTGTCTTCCTGTTCGTCCTTCAGGCCACCCTGTTCAAATAGTTCCTTTGCTCACAGTCTGCCCCCTCAACTCTCCTCCAGTTAGAAGAATCCCAGTCTAGTGACATCACTTCTTACGCAGGAGCCTCTCTATCTGCCAGCCATTTTTCTAAAGGAGGGAGAAACAGCACAGCATACAGAGCAAGGCAGCAGTGGGAACAGCGTAACGGCAGGAAGAGAAGCATGCATGCTCTTCTGTGTCCTCCAAGGGCGAGAGCACAGGAAGACCTGGCCACAGGACCAACCCATGCAGAAATCTCACAACGTACCTCCAGTCTTCCCAACCTTCTTACCTTTGAATATTACTTCAGTTGTGCTGTGTCTCCAACGCAAAGCAGCTGGTTCAGCAGCGGGCTGCAGACTTACAGGCTCCACAGTAACATCACCTGGATCTGAGTCATTACAGATTTTGGGGAACCTCAGCCACAACATTCCCAACGCTGCATTTGATGGGGACGTTCGTCCTCCTACCACCAGGGCCAGGCTGTCTGAGAGACATGACACCGTATGGTACAGTCGCTCATCTGGAGAGACAGAAGATATCACAGGTCACACTGTTCTTTTTCTTGCGACATTCAGAACCTTCACATCTCTCTGACTGCCAGTGTAATCGCACTGTGGCACCACTTACTGACATTTCACTGCCAGCACAAACATCTCCCTTGCCCCTGCCATCAGTATCCCACTTGAAACACTCACCCCATCCTTGATCAGGATTTTCCTTTTTCACACATCTGGTTTGCCAGGAGCCTGCATACTTCGTAAGAACATGAAAACTCCTCATACGACAGTGATGTCCATTCTCCTCCCCAAAGCCTCCAGTGGTCAGAATCACATTAGGTTTTATAAGAGCAGAGTGGTGACCGTAACGTCTCAAGCCAACAACTTCAGACTGAGCTGCACATGCCAACGCACTGACGCTCCCAGCCAACCTGACAGGGCCATGATGAGGAGGAACTGTAAGCCAACGAGGAACAAAACAACGTAAATTTCAAGCAAACAAGAACCAACACTTGTTAGTTTTAAAAATAAAATAAAAAACTGCGGAGTGAGTTGATGCAGCCCACTGACGATCTGACATGCCCTAGAAATCAATCTGCATCACATTCAACTGCCCTACACAACTTTCAGCTTCTGCTTGCTGCTCCCTAAAGGAAGGAAGCAGCCAAAAGCAGGAATTTGTTGGGCTGGCTTCACCTGGCAATGAGCAGTCCTTATCCTTAGGGAATGAGAATGGAAAAAGCCAACTGGATATCACCATCATGTGTTCCTTCCAGGGTTTTGCTGTCTCCTAAAATCTATCCAAGGAGCCTGTGTGAGATAAAAGAATACTACAAAAACTAGCCAGTTTGTACCTGCCACGTTGGATAATAATGGAGTCCAGGAGGGTTCCATCCCCTTTGATGCAGTCAGGACAAAGTAATGAGAACACTTCAGATGCCATTCCTGTATCAAGCCAAAAGAAAGAAACAAAAGCAAGCGCACGCTCTCAAAATCTCAGACCGAAGGGTAGTAATGAATGGCCAGAGCAAGAAGTCATAAATGAAACTTGCTTAACAGTATTCCCAGCAATGGCCATAATCAGAAGTCTAAAACTGAATCTGAGAAGAAAAGAAGAAACAAGTCTGTACAATCTCTTCTAACCCTCAAAAATATACAGCACAGGGATTCTCTGCTTTATCAAATAACTCTTGGTGGTTTCCTCATTCATGAACTATCCAGCTGCTCTTTAAACTCACACACACATTCTACAGCAATGAGTTCCAAAGCTTTATTGTAAGTTGTATGATGAATGCTCTTCTTTGGAACCAGCTTCCCTTTATGCTTCCCAGGTGTGCTCATAAGAAGGACTGTATACCAGAGGGATTAAGATTCCCCAAAGGTCACGGAATATAACTGACCCTAAAGAAATCATAAATGTTCAAAGATTCCCCCCCGGCCTCTGCTATTTGACAATACCTGTATATGACTGCCAGTCTCACTGTGGAATCACTCAGAGGCAAACGGCACAAGAAGTCAGTAGCAATACTAGAGTTCACCCTGGCTTTAGTGGACACTGAGAAATTGAGTGTGTTCACTACCAGGGCACTGAATACATCCACCCCACTGTATGGCAGGGCAGCATAAACAAGAAATTTAAAGCGCAAAGAAATAACAACATCAGCATCATGAGCCCAAATTTCCTCTTAGGTGAGGATGAAACTTCCCAAAAAATGGTATGAAAAAATGAATGTAAATACTGGAAATTTTAAAGTTCACAATTTGTCTCTAGGAAAATGATTCTAGAAATTAGTCCCCCTCAGCATAAGGACGTATTTTGTGTTTCTAATCTAATCCCATTAAGCTTGTTTCCAGTCCGACCCAGATCTCACCCCATCTTCATCTGAAAGGCCAATCCCTGAGCTCCCTGCTATCAATTACGTTACTCCTATGCAGATCTCCCAGCATGCACTTGTCACCTTCCTCTAACGAAACGACGTTCTCTGCTTTCTCACTTCAAGAGAAATTTCCTTCCTCTACAGCATTTGCTGTCACACTGCTACAGCACTCTGCAAACCTGCCAGAACTTCAGTTAACGGTTCTGTTAGGGGTGGTCAGCAGGGACAGGGAGGTGATTGTCCCTCTCTACTCGGCTCTTGTGAGGCCCCATCTGGAGTCCTGTGTCCAGGTGTGGAGCCCTCAGTACAAGAAAGACATTGAGATTTTGGAAAGGGTCCAGAGGAGGGCGACTGAGATGAGCAGGGGGCTGGAGCACCTCCCCTATGAGGACAGGCTGAGGGAGTTGGGCTTGTTCAGCCTGGAGAAGAGAAGGCTGCGGGGTGACCTCATTGCAGCCTATCAATACCTGAAGGGAACCTACACCCAGGAGGGGAGTAAACTCTTCAAAAGGGCTGACAACAGCAGGACTAGGGGAAATGGATCCAAGTTGAGGGAGAGAAGATTGAGGTTGGATGTTAGGGGGAAGTTCTTCACAAGGAGAGTGGTTAGGCCCTGGAACGGGCTGCCCAGGGAGGTTGTGGATGCTCCGTCCTTGGACGTGTTCAAGGCCAGGTTGGACGGGGTCCTGGGCAACCTGATCTGAATGTGTGTGTTTGGTGGCCCTGCTGGGCAGGGGGGTTGGAACTACATGATCCTTGAGGTCCCTTCCAACCCGGGTGATTCTGTGAGTCTGTTCACAGCACGTGGTGGCAAAGTAAACACAGCCACATTAAACTGTTCTCATAATGCAGGCTATTGCATTTCTAGAATTGCAAACAAAGAACCACAAGGTAGAATGAGAAACATCCAGTACTTATCTTACACAACACTTACCTCAGAGTCACTCATTGCCCTTGGTTTATCTTCTCTCCTACTTTTCTGACACTTGCAAATTTGCCAGCAGTTAACATAAAAAATGGCAGAACACAGTCATAGCTAACTCGGTCATTATTGTAGGAATGGCCACATAAAAAAACAGAACAAAATACCTGTTGAATATAGCTAGAAAACCATATTCAACAATGACAAAACACTAACAGCCCAGGGAAATGCAAGAGCAGCATACACTCCCTCCAGAAATGCTCCCAGACGTTTGCAGGTCAGGAACCTCACACCAGGCATACTTTCTTTGTATTCAAGTAATCCTCAATGGATTTCTGCATTGAAAGAATTGCAACTGGAGCACTTGCAAATTTTCAGCGTCAGCAATACCCTTTGTAACAGCAGCTGCTTTGCAGGGCTGAGATTGTCTCCCTCAGATATCTCACTGAGGAAGGAACACGAATCCTTTGTAACACAGAAGAGTCTTCTTGAATGCTGAAAAGGATTACCTCATATTCATCAAAAGGCTCCAGAGCCTGCACTCTTTGTTGCTCATCTTCTGGAATACAATGGGTGAAAAACTCATTCATATCCATGACACTGCACTCAGTCCAGCCCTGAAACAGAAATCCCTCAAAATTATTACTTCTGGAAGAAAAGACCTCTCACGAGAAAACAATGACACTAAATGAAGAATCTGCATGAGTCTTTAAAACTGTCCAGCTGGAAAATAGCAGCAGCTCAAATTCTGATGAGATGGCTTGCCTAAAAAATTCTGAATATCTAACATTAAAAGCTTAAGAGGAGCTCATAAGTCTCCTTAATCCCATACCACCAAACAGGCGAGGGACCTTCAGGTGACCACGTTACCAGAGCAGGCAGCAGCTCTGCCTTGGCCATTTTCGCTTCAACCCAGCTGGCCCAGTTGACGACTCCTGAAATGATGTCAAGTTGCACCTTCTCCAGGTGCTCCAGGTTTCCCATGGCTCTTAGGGCTGCAGGTACTTACTTTTTCAAAAAAACGCTTCTGCTGTGCTTCACAATCAGGGTATTGAGACAAAGAACGAAGTGCAGAGTTCAGCTGACTGAAATGCTGTTGCATTACACGTCCAAAGGGATCCTCTGGGTGCATCTGCTCATACAGCAGAAAGCACGCATGAGAGAAATGCTCTGCTGCCCACTGAATCAAGGCATCTGACCTGTTGGGCAGATATAAGTAAGAACAATTAAATACCTGTGGGACCCCCTATTGCAGGACAGATGCAACATAAAGCATGTTACTAAGGCACCCTGACAGATCACATACAAAAGAGAAACCTGTACTGGGCATCTATGAAAGTCTCACCCATTCATAGAGGAAGTCAGGAATGAGAAGACCCCAAAATTTTAAAAACAAACAAATAAACAAAAAAACCCACAGTACTTAAGGTTCTTCCTCTTTTCATTTTTTTAACCTCCCCTTTAGGTTCACAGAATAGATGAGATTGGAGAAACCTCTGGACATCATCTGGTCCAACCTCTGGTCCAACCAGCAGAACCACCCAGAGCTGCCTACCCAGGCCCATGGCCAAACAGAATCACAGCATGGCCTGGGCTGCAGAGGAGCACAGCACTCATCCAGCTCCAAGCCCTGCTGTGTGCAGGTCGCCAACCAGCAGCCCAGGCTGCCCAGAGCCACATCCAGCCTGGCCTTGAATGCCTGCAGGGATGGGGCATCCACAGCCTCCTTGGGCAACCTGTGCCAGTGCCTCACCACCCTCTGCCTCCAAAACTTCCTCCTCACATCCAACCCACACCTCCCCTGTCTCACTTTCAAGCCATTCCCCCTTGCAGTATCACTATCCACCCTTGTACACAGCTTTTGAAGATCTCCAAGGAGGGAGATTCCACAGCCTGTCTAAGCAAGCTGTGACAGCTCCCATCACTCACACAGTAAAGAAGCGTTTTCAGATGTTCAGACAGAAGCTCCTGTGCTCCAGCTGTGCACACTGCCTCCTGTTCTGATGTTGTGGGAATCAACTGCTCCATCATACTTACAGTGTAAGGAGCTGTTTGGAACTTCCACAGAATTCATGAGGCTTTAGTTTTAAGACAGCAAGTCTCCCATGACTTACAATGAAGTCTCTGCTTCTCATTTTAGAACCCAGCTAAGAAAGGACAGCTCAACTGACCTGCTGCTTTCCATGTAGGTGAGCACCACCTCTGCTATGAAAAGGGTGGGGACTTCACTGTCCAGTCCTGCTTCATCTAGAGCTGCACTCAGCTTTGGCAGCTCTGATAAATCCACTCCCAATAACCTATAATCCTTCCCAGAAAAGGCGGTGGTGACTCCTGTGGGACAAAAACAACACTAACTCACTACAGCGGCTTCGCAATACTGAGACCCAAGCCAGGAAAATCAGCACTACCAGCAATCATTCACAAGACCATGCCCAACTCAATTTTTCTGTGAAATAAAGAAGAAAACCCCAAAACTAAATGATCCGTAATAGGGTGGCACCCAGAAGCATCAGGAAAAGATGAATAAAAGAACCCAATAAACTCAGAATTGAAATTCCATTATTTCTAGCACAAATTTCAACTACTGATTTCCAACAGTTATATTTACTATACAAACAAAGCTTTATCACCCTTACTTTAACAACATTTTTATATCACTGCTCTCCTTCACAGACATTTTGATTCAAGCTAAGAGAATACCACTGCTTTGACAAAATAGCTTCTCTCACATCTACAAAATTATTCTCAAATTTGTTTGTGGGCTTGAGGGGTGGGTGGGTTTCTGTATTTTGTGTTTTTTAGTCTCAAAAAAAAGATTTCATTTCTGCAAAATGGCTTTGGATTCTGAACCATGAGAACTCCCTGCAAACACTAGCACTAGTCTTACAGAGCACTGTTCTCAGAAATAGGGCCCAGCTTATGATCTGCAAGCATTATAAAGGCAGGCTGCTTATGACTATCATCAATCATAAGCTGCTTCACTCTTTTCTGCCAAAACCAGACTGAAAATGACTAGGTAGTAAAGTAGCTCTATATGCTAGCTGCTCTGTTGCCTCTATGCCAGTGAAATCCAACTGCACCTGTCCTGAGATTTGTTGATGTACATGCTTCTCAAAGGCATCCATTATCAAAAAACTAAGTGGCCTCCAACAGCAGCCCGCCCCAGTGCTTCCTGCTATTTTCTTCTAACATCTCAATTGCCCATCTCATCACTTCTTCTGGACACAGAGAACAAGATATTCCCATTTCCCTCGATACACATCTTTTACTTCAAATACATGGAAGATTATTGATATGGACAGAATCCTGTTCCACAGGATGCTGTAGATACATAAAATGTAGACAGATTCAAGAGGAAACCAAACCCACTTATGGAAGAGCTAGTCACTAAGCCACATTCAACTGTTCATGGGAGGCCACATCTTGTGTCCTGTCTAACTGTAGCTGCTCTCCACCTGTATTTAAACTGACAATCTGACTGGCAGCATTCCCCAGGGGTCGGTGCTGGGTCCAGTCTTGTTCAGGATCTTCATCTCCAACCTTGATGGGGCGATAGGTGTCCATCCTCACCAAGTGCATCAACGAGACAAAGCTGGGAGAAGTGGCGGCACACCAAAAGGCCGTGCTGCCATTCAGCAAGACCTGGACAGGCTGGAGAGCTGGGCAGAAACAAACCAGATGAGGTGTGACAAAAGCAAGTGTTGAGCCTTGCACCTGGGAAGGAACAACCGCAGGTATCAGCAGAGGTTGGGACGTGAGCTGCTGGAGAGGAGCTCTGCAGAGAAGGACTGGGAGTGCTGGTGGACGACAGCAGTGTGCCCTGCTGGACAGGAAGGGCAATGGGATCCTGGGGTGCATTAGAAAGCGTGGCCAGCAGGGCAAGAGAGGTGACCTGGGTCTGCTCAGCCTTCAGGAAAGAAGACTGAGAGGGGATCAGATCAACGTTTATAAATATCTGAGGTGTGGGAGTCCAAAGGACACGGCCAACCTCTTCTCAGTGCTCTGTGGGGACAGGAGAAGGGGAGATGGCCGTAAAGTGGAGCACGGGAAGTTCTGCACGTGGGTGAGAAGGGAGTTCTTCACAGTGAGGATGGCAGAGCTCTGGAACAGGCTGCCCAGGGAGGCTGTGGCTTCTCCTTGTCTGGAGATATTCCAGACCCGCCTGGACGCCCACCTGCAGCCTGCTGTAGGAGCCCGTTTTGCAGGGGTTGGACTCAGTGATCCCTGGAGGTCCTTCCAGCCCCATAATCCTGTGATTACAGTCAAAACGTAGTGGCTTGAATATGTCCCTATTGTATTTCATCCCACATTTCACAGATTTCCTGTATTTACACATTTCCTGTGCTTTGTCAAAACCCTAATTCCATCCATCACATTGCAACTATCTCTATTTTCTATTGCATTATAACATTTGCACCTTCCACAGCCTATCAACTGCAACATTAATGTAAACCTTGAAGGAGATCAGATGCAAGAGAACCACCTAGTGAACCCCATACCTTACATCCCTCCATTTTGCAAATGAACCTGCCACTCAGTACTTAGTTGGCAAAACTAGCCCTCCAGCTGTGCTTAGATTCTACCATATTTTCCCAAGACCCAATTCTTCCTCTTCCTGGAGATTTAAAAGAAGTCAAGTAACACAATGACTAATGCTGCAATTACAGTCAGCATACTTAAGAATAATAGCTTCTCCCCTATCCACAAAGATCATAAATCACAGAATCATTTAGGTGGAAAGGTGACTTCAAAGGTTACGTGTAACAGGTTGCTCCAGGCTTTGTACAGTCGAGCACTACTGTCTCCAGAAAGAGTCTGGCTCCATCCTCACTATAATTTTCCACTGGGTAGTTAAAAACTGCACTAAGACCATTCCCCACCACTCATCCTTCTCTTCATGTTGAGGAAAGTTCTCTCAGCTCTACCTACATTTTGTGCTTCAGCCCTTCCTCATTCTCCCGACCCATCACAGCGCAGGCTGCAGTTTGCCACTGTCTTCGCACTGCTAAGTCCAACGTTAGACACAATACTTAAAAAGTTGCCACAAAAAGACACTGAGCTTTGTTTGATGTAATCTGCTCCTCAAAAACCTCCGAGCAGTTCTGCATCTTGTTGTCTCCCAGTGCTTACAAACGGCTCTGATTTTTTTCACAAAATAAACACGTGCCTCACACACGTTCTTATTACACACACGCACTTCCAAGTTCCTCTAATGCAACTCAGTTTTTAAAGGCTGAAGCTTTTTTCTTCCTTCTTCCATACATGCAGTATCCAGAACATTTTCCACAAACACCATACCTAACCCTTCTGCTCCAGCATCTCCCACCAGTGCTGACAACTCTTCCGTCCTCTTGATCAGAGCAGCTTTTTGGCACACCACACTTGGGAAATCCACCTCGTATATCACAGTGTGATGTAGAAGATCCATGTCTTTCAAACGGAAGTACAAGGAGTCAAAGCCAGCACCTAGAGACAGGATCTGCAGAGAAATTGGCAGAAAACAAGTTATACTCTAGCAGCATCCTGAGCATCTCCCTGTGAAGAACATTCCAGTTCAGGTGCACAATCTGCAGAGTAACAAAACCAGGTAATCTCCCAAAAGAGGTTGAAAAACTTGCGCAAAAACTAGATAGATATTTCTATCAGTGACAAATGCAGATCCAGTACTGCCAAGTAGATCCTCTGCACTATTCTGGGAGAAAACCACCACAGCTGCTAAAAAACGTTTCATGTACAAATACAGCAGAAGCTGCCAGCAGAGCCAGGCAACGGAAACGTACCTGTCTCCTAGGATGACTTCTGGTCTTCAGCAGGAAATCTTGAACACAGTGATCTACAGCACGGGCACGGACATAATAACCTCTGTGGAATGAAATTCAACTGCAACTGCTGTCCAGTACCCCTATTTCTCCAAGAATTACAGTCTATTCCAAAAAAAAAAAAAAAAAAAAAAAACCTTTTTTCTCTCAGCTTCCACTCAATAATCATATTTATTTGCACTTGGAGATATCTGATGATTTTGTCATCTCTAGACCCTGTATTTAATGTCTAACCACCAAGACTACAGATAACGGAGAGAAAACACGTAAAATACTCAGTGGATGGAAAAGGATGAGTCCAGGCAGTCAGAAGGCTTCCTGCAATGCAGTTGGCCAACATCTTGGCCTGGATCAACCTGATGAGGTTCAACACAGCAAAGTGCAAGGTTTGGCACTTGGGCCGGAGGAATCCCAGGCATCCAAACAGAGTGGAAGGAGCAGTGCTTGAGAGCAGCCCTGTGGAGAAGGACCTGGGGGTCCTGATGGATGAACACCTGAACATGAGCCAGCAGTGTGTTCAAGATGCTTGGAAAGTCAATGGGATCCTGGGCTCCACCAGAAGTGGGGTGGTCAGATGGAAATGGGAGGTGATTTTCCCTCTCTACTCTCTATCTGCAGTACTGTGTCCAGATCTGGGGTCCACAACACAAGAAAAGACAGTGAGCAGTTGGAGAGGGTCCAGAGGAGCCACAAAGATGATCAGGGGGCTGCAGCACCTCCCTACAAAGACAGGCTGAGGGAGCTGGGCTTGTTCAGCATGGAGAAGAGAAGCTGCGGGGTGACCTCAGTGCAGCCTGCAGTGCCTCAAGGGAGCCTGCAGACAGGAGGGGAGTCAGCTCTGTGCAAGGGGAGATGGCAGCAGGACAAGGGGAAATGGTTTGGAGTTGAGGGAGGGCAGCTGGAGGCTGGATGTCAGGGGGAAGTTGTTTAGAGAGAGAGTGGTGAGGTGCTGGAACAGCTGCCCAGAGAGGCTGTGATGCCCCGTCCATCCCTGGAGGTGTTCAAGGCCAGGTTGGATGGGGCCCTGGGCAGCCTGGGCTGCTGTGAAATGGGGAGGTTGGTGGCCCTGCCTGCGGCAGGGGAACTGGAGCTTCGTGATCCTTGGGGTCCTTTCAACCTGGGTCATTCTGTGATCTCACTTCCTGCCCCAAATCAGATGGTGTGACAATATGAAATTAACTCCTTTATACACAAGGTGATGTGCTCAACCAGCAGTTATTGGGTATAACAAAATGAAAGCTGTGTGTGCAAGAGCATTAACAGGGAGCAAAAATGAAAACTGAAAGGAGTTTCATTCTCTGTGTTGGTTTTCTTTTTTCTGTGTGATGAAAACCAAGAAAACTGAATTCCTGGAAAGCATTCAGCATCCACCTGGCTGCTGCCTCCTTTTCCTCAGTGCTCAGGAAACCAGTTTTACTCAGTTTCACGGGGTTCCCACCAGCCGTTCCTCTCCCTGTCAACTCCCCCAGCAGGCGCTCATTATCCCCACCCCCAGACCTCACAGAAACATTTTAAAAGAAACCCAAGGATTTGGGAAGACAGCATTAACAACATTAACATGGAGCTCCTAGCATGAATTTAGTTTGGCACACCGACGCCACGTGAGCAGACACCTCGACACAGATGCACTTTCAGATGCGATTAGCAGCGTTTGCCCTCACAGGCCTGCCAGCTCCTGACATTCACGTTACCTACACGAAACTCCTTCGGCAGTTCGCAGTCACTGTCATATCGAGCCGCCCCACGTTAACCAAGGCTCACCGCGGGTACGCACTGTAAGCGCCCGCGTTTCAACGCCCCGCACAGCCGCGCTCACGCACAGCGCTGAGCGGCAGGCGCTGCTCGCCGCTCCCGTCCGCCTCCTCGCCCCGAGCCGCACCGCGCGTTCCTACCGGTGGATGAGCGCAGTTCTCCTCCGCGGCCGGCCCGCAAGGAGCCGCACGAAGCGGTCCCGCACGTATCCCCGCTCCGCCGCCGAGCATTTGCTGACGGCGCTGCTGCCGCCCGTGCCCCGCACCTGCGGGACGACAAACCGCGTGACGAACCGGGCGCCGCCGCGCCGCAGCCCGGCTGCCTTACGGCACAGCTCCCGCCGGAGCGGCCGAGCCTCCTTCGCGGCGCCGCCTCTCCCTGCCGCCCCGAGAGCCCGGCCGGACTCCTCCCGAGCAGAACCGCCCCGCTCCACAGCCGGCGCTCACTCACGCCGGCGCTCCGCCGCCCGCCCGGCCGCCCTCCCTCCATGCCGCGCGCAGAGACGCGTCGCTCACGCGCAGTGACGTAGACGCTGTGGACGCTACGTAGCGCCCCCTGGCGGCCCGCACCGCCCCGCCCCGCCTCGTCCCGGCAGCGCCGCCTCCGGGCGATCCGCGTGCAGCGCCCGCCCGGCCCCGCGGCGTCCCCGTCTGCGGGCGCGGCCGTCCCTCGCTGCTGCCGCGGCGCTCGGCGGACCCGGGAGCGCGCTCCCGTACCTGAGCCCGGCAGCGAGGGAGGGCCGGAGGCTCGCGGCCGTGGCAACGGGCAGCCTCTTCGCGGTAAGCGGAGGGACGCGGGAGGAGCGCGGAGCTGCCCGGAGGATGCGTGCGGCGCTGCGGCCGTGCGGAGCTCCCCGGGGGGTGCTGGGGTGCGGCAGCGCGGCGCTGAGCGCCTTGTGGGCCTGAGCTCCCCGCCGAGCTGCTGAGCTGCCCGGGGGCGCGGAGCTCCGCGCGCTCTTGAGCAGAACTGACGCGGGCGCTGCCCGTGGCTTTGTGAGCGCTCGCAGCCTGCGGTGTGACCGAGAAACGGGCGGGGCACGGCCTGTTGCAGAGCAGGCGGATGTTCCTGCTGTTTCTCCTTAGGGTTTGCACTGGGAGTTGTAGAAGAGCCGTGCTGGCCTGGCCGTAGCAAGGTGTCACCAGGACTGCGCTTGCCTCTGTGCTCATTGTCTCTACTTATCTTGTGGTCCGCGCAGTATTATATTGTGCATTGCATCAGCTGGAATCACAAAATGTCACTTCTGCAGAGAATGGTCAGCATGCGTATTTCTAACTGGGATCCATGCAGCTCACTCCTCGACCTACTACTGCTACTACTGCTAGCATTTCATCAGTAGCAGTACAGATTTCTTTTTCCAGAGGTGCACTTTAGTAGAGCTGCCTTTTAGGCTATTCCCGGCAGATTTGGAGTGGCTCAGATATGTGGTTACAGGGCAGGATGCAGGTCAGTAGTTCTGTTTATATTCTGGTCGTATGCACTTTCTCCAGGGATATCAAGACTTCCCTTCCCTCCAGGGCTCTCTTTTGCAAACTGCCCATTATTTTGTTGATCGTCCCATCTCTGCGGTGTGGAGATGATGTTTGGATTGCATTGCAGTTAAGGCTCACGGGCAGCGCTATCCCATCCTGCTGATGCTTCAGGTCCTGCAATGTTCCCAATTCTACAAGCATCCTGAGAACGATGATGAAAAAAAAATGCTTGGCAGCAAGCTGGGGAATGGCCACTCAACACTGCGTCCAGCTGTCCCAGGAAGATTTTTCCAGTTCCATGTTTCTATATCCATAACAATCTTCTGTGCAAGCTCTGTCAGAGACACTGAAACATGAACTAGGCATCAGACACGTAAAGCTGAGAGGGAGTGGGACTGGGAGGTTAGTTTCCTGTCCTTGGTACAAAGCCCTGCATGCATACTCCATGAGGAGAGGCTCTATATTGGAGTTCTGTGATGCGGGAAAAGAATGTGGTGCCAGTAATTCTTGGGCCTCCACGTCCAAACTCGAGCTGCCATAGGTATGAAATCCTGTAATCACTCAATTTTATCAGACGCTGGAATTTTTGCTCCTATATCTTTCTTACTCAGAAAAGATGTTTTAAAGCCTGATAGTTGTAATAGCTAGCAGAATTCTTGTTGATTGCAATAATAGCCAGTTTATATCTATCTGTTCTTGGTTCACAGTCAGTCTTAATCTGAAATGATTCCTTTACCTATCCTGCACTGACTCTAAGTGCACAAGCAGACAGGTTTATCACTGCTTGATCTGTTTTGCCAGACTAAGCCTAGCCAAACAAGCTGTGTTGGTGGGAAGAGTAAGGCTTTTAAATGCACGCTGAGAGGGCGTGCTGCCGTAGCACTTGCACTTCCATCAGGTTTGGACGCCTTTGCAGGCCGATGCAGGAGGGGGACGCCTTATCCCGATGTGCATGGGTAACTTCTCCGTGCCCCATCTCTCCTCCCACTGCTCCGAGGATTCCTCTGGGGTTTTGCAGACATTCAAAGCCTGTGAGGAATGCACTCCTCACCCCACATAACAGAAAACACACAGCAGAGCAGCACAGGCATCTCAGGGCCCCATGCTGCTCCCACCCCCAACTGGGCAGGCAGTCTGAGGAGAGAGGAGTACATAATGAGAAGCATTTGCTGCCACAGCTATCTATAGTCTTTTGTTTAGGAGCAGGCGAGGCGTGGTTTTTCTTCCTGACCTCAGAGATGACGGCAGAGAACCCCGATGAGAAACAGGGAGTGCTCTGGAGCGAGCAGCCAGGCTGCTCAGCATGGAGGAGTGGGACGCCAGAATCCCCCAAAGGTTCACTGAGTGGTGCTGTCCTCCCACAGGAGGGTGCACTGTGCCCAGTGTCAGAGTCTGCCTTCAGTTCAAGGTGGACCAACGATGCTGGGGCTTTGACATGGGCTGAACAGCGAAGCATTTTCCCTTATCTTTCTTGCTGTTCCGATCACTTGGATGTGTGCTGAAGGTTATCAGCTGCATCAGTTTCTCTATCAGCTTCCATCTGGGAAAAAGCTCTGTGAATGATATAAAGGTGACATATGTGCATGGTGCAGAGCAGTAGGGCTGTACATTAATGATATTGGTACCTTTTTCTTTCATTACCTATTTGTCTTGTTGCTCTCAAATACTGCAAGAGACGAGGGCTGGACTCATCTGCTGATCTAGGATAATGTGGCAAAATCCTGGAGAACAGATGATACCAATCTCAGATCTCAATCCTATTATTATTCAAATACATTAGTATTACCACAGAGGCCTCTGTTACAAGGCAAAGCCTTGTCAAGCTAAGGCCAATATGGCAAAATGTGGAGATAAGCAGCATGACCTCTAAGTCCTCTACACACATGTAACTCCTGAGTGTGCATCCTAAATACTTTACAAAAGACAGCTGTGTCATCAAAGGCAGTGATTGACAAAACAACTTACAATCACGGGAACCAACTCCTAGTCATTTTTAAGAACCTGAAAAAAACAATAATCCAATATATTGTAAAGCAAAATAATCCACTGCCAAGGAATCATAGGATGGTTTGGGTTGAAAGCGACCTTTAAGATCACTTAGTTCCAACCCCCTGCTCTAGGTAGGGATACCTGTCACAAGACCAGGTTGCTCAAAGCCCCATCCCTGCAGGTGTTCAAGGCCAGGTTGGATGGGGCCCTGGGCAGCCTGGGCTGCTGTGAGATGGGGAGGTTGGTGGCCCTGCATTGGGGGGGGTTGGAGCTTCGTGATCCTTGAGCTCCCTTCCAACCCCAGCCATTCCATGATTCTGTGATCCAGCCTGGCCTTGAATGCCTCCAAGAAGGAGGCAGCCTCTCTGGGCAACCTGTTCCAATGTCTCTTCGATGCTCAGTGGAATCTTTTCTCCTCTTTTTCAAAAAGAATGACAGAAAGAATTTTGGAAGGTACCAAAAGATGTTGATTCCACTGATGATAGAAGAGAAGAAATAGGTAATTACCCTGTGGTTTGTAACAAAAATTTAAAAAGCACAGGAAACCATTATAAGGGATTTTAAAAGGTAGGAGATGTGGCGTGCTTTGTTGCATTACAGAAACTGTGCAGTAGAGATGAGGTGAGGATATAGCTAACATACCAACCCGGAGAAAGAATATTTGCAGCAGCACTGTAATGGATTTAGGTTTATGAATCAAGGAGGGTGCAAAGAACAGACTGAGGAGATGTGAGGGCAATCAATACTGAGATGGGGTTTTGTTGTCTTTTGTTTTTGTTTTGCAGAGATCTTGGACCAAAGGATCGTGGGGAATTACCTACAGCTGACGGTGATAAATGAAAATGGCATGTTTTGTGAAATTCTTGGACACTTCGTATAGTATCAGCTCTAGGCAAAATGGGAAGGGTTGTTGTTGCACACTGTGAGAGGGAGTGAAGACTGTCATTAACTCTACAAGCACTGTACATTGCTGAGCAAGATAATAATAAGTCTATTTATAATACCAGTGGAAATACGATTGTGTGAGATTTGCTTACCTGTTTTATTCCTTGCAGTACTGTGGTCTTTTAGAATCTCCTTTCTAATAGATTACAACTTCATGAAGTCATATTGTCAATTCTGTGTTGAAGGACAGAAGCTTGATTTAGGCAGAGCTGTGGTCATGTCTTTCTTTAAAAATACCTGAGCTGTCTGGAAAATGCCTGCAATGAAGTCTTGCAGGAAGATGCTTTTCTACTTCAGATCAAGTGATACTGACCCCCACCCTGGCATCCATCTCCTTGGTGGAAGCACTCCTCAGCTCCTTACCCCCCATTAGAGTCCCTGTACTAAGGAAAAAAAAGCTGGTGCTTTTTCTCATTTTAAGTAATACATTACTGAACATAGATGAACTTACATTCAGCGATGCGCTTGGCATTTCATGAATAAACACCCACAAGACTCTGATGCAGCAATTACATCATTTTATGCTGCATTCCACTTGTGCTGGTGTTATTCAAAGACCTTATCACACCTTCTCAGTTTGCTTTCTCTAAACAACTCAGACTCATGTATTGTCTAGTGTTGGGTTTTTCAAAGACAAATGAGCAATATTGGATTCTGTAACTTACGATTAGGGAAGCTTCTGGCTCTCTTTAAGGTCCTGATGCATGAGGATGCTGTTCCTCTAGCCACGTTAACCTACAGCCCTAAGCATCTCCAAGCTCCCTCTGTGCACTAGATAGAAGGACTCTGCCCTGTGCTTCTCTCCAAATGCAGTAATTAAACATGGTCTGTTTCATAGTTTCTTCAGTGACTTAAAGACCTTCAAAATCTGACTGTTACATTGTTTGCTCCTCAAATGTGTGTCTCAATTCTCCATCAGTAGAGTGGTGAAAAGATCAAGTTTTGTATCTCCGAGGCAGAGTGTGTGAAAAAAAGGAATTTTGGCACCTCAGAAATGGATAAGGGATTTTTATAAAGCTTTTGGCAGTAGTGCATGAAGAGCTGGATAAACACTGGGCAGTAATTCATAAACTTTTGGTTTAAAATCTCTTGCTGTATGTAACAATGGATAATTGTCATCCAGGAGGGCTGTTGTTTCCATGAGAGTCCCACAGAGCAGTTTGTGGTTGCTGGCTAATGGCTGTGTCCTGGAAAGCAGAAATTGAAGGATTGATTACATTAGGTGGCCAATGAATCACGAGTTCTCAGTTTTATCACATAGTTAAACCAAAATCTATTTCGAAGAGGACATAAAGGCGGCAGTACTGTCAACAAAAAAGGATTGGTGCTGCATAGGTGTATTTCAGTAGGACAGTGGTTGCTGGCATCACGGCAGGGCACTGGGATAAGCACTGAAAGCTGTGCTGACTGCAGTGGCTGCACAGGGAGGTGGTGCAGTCGCCGTCCCTGGCGGCGCTCGGGGGGCGCCTGGAGGAGCTGCGAGATGTGGTTTGGTGCTGGGGGCAGCAGTGGTGCTGGGAGGATGGTTGGACTGGATGATCTTGTAGTCCCTTCCAACCTTGAGATTCTATGATTGTAAGTAGTAAGGAGTTGTGGTTTGAGGTGTCCCCTAAGTCAGAATAAAGGCAAACTCTTTAGTTTTAATATGGTTGTAAAGTTATCCGGAATGAATCTACCAAAGGGCTATCAGAAAATGAATTCCAATCTGGACTTGGACTCTAAGCCAATTTTCTCGTAGTCCTTGATGCATTATGCCTTCTCTTGCAGGTGGCCATTTCTTAGCTGCTTGATGTTTCAGGGAGCAGCAGCATTATAATGGCATATTTGCAATCTGACATTGCGCTGCTTAGCCCAGATCTCCTCACCCACGTGATGCTGAAACCAGAATCACATTCACCAACTTCTTTGTAAGAGGCTCAGATAAACAGGACTAGCAAAGGGGAGGTATTTCTCCAGTGTCTTAACTTCCGTTTCTCCAACTTTCCATTCTCAGATTCACCTTGTTGTTATCTCTGCTTTCAGGAACTCATAACCTAATACAGACATCCAGCCAGCCTCCAAGGAGTTTATGATCCATTAATATGGCCTTGTTTATAGCATCTGAGCCAGGATGTCATCACACTGGGGCCCCACACATAGATGGCAAGGAGGAAGCAATATAAATTATGCTGGGCCCTGCTTTCTTGTGGTGAGATCTCTACTTACCAAAAACTTCTGGCCTTTGTTCTGGGCTGGGAATGGTTTTTGTAATGGAGAGAGAGGCACTTTCTATTCTGAGTAGAGAAAGCAGTACCAGGGAAGGTTTTAATTATCTCTCATTTCAGAGAAGCCAGGCTGCAGTACAATTGCAGGAGCTGATGAACAGTGCAGTCCCAGTCCAAAGGAAGGATGCAGGAATGTTCTCATTCTTATGCTTACAAACAGCTATGAGATCCTCTCAGCCTTCTCTTTTCCATACTGAAGAGTTCAAAGTCCCTCAATCTTTCCTCATACAGGAGATGCTACAGGTTCTATTAATCTTTTGCCTTTCCACTGGCTGACAGCAGAGCTCAGAGCGCTAATCGCAGAGCTCTGCTGTCAGCCACTCCTCAATCCGGGTAGGGTAAGGCTTTCTAACTGCACAGTGCTGCTATCTGAAGAGCAGATAAGCACTATGGAGCCAAATGCTTCTTCGTAGTGGCAGACAATAGAACAGGAACAATTTCCACAATTACAGCTCGACTCATTCAGAGTGGACTTCAGGAAACATTCTCCATCAGGAGCGCAGTGCAGTGCTAAGAAAAGCTGCTCGCATGGGCTGAGTTCCTACCTTGCAAGGTTTCAATGCAGACCTGTCCTTGTGTTTTTGATAGCCCTGATTCAAAGGAGAGGTTGGGCTGTGCATGGATGGATGTCCCTTCTAACCATGATGGGATAAGTCTCGATGCACCTCATTGTCCACTCATATATCCCACAATTTCTAAGTATCATAACAAGAATGCTGTGGGAGACGGTGTCAGATGCCTTGCTGAAGTCAAGGTACACAGCATCCACTGTTCTCCCTTCATCAACACTTCTCTTCCAATTGCTTGGAGATAGCATCCAGAACAAGCTTTCCAAGGACAGAAGTGAGGCTGACTGGCCTGTGGTTTTGCAGATCCTCCTTCTTGCCTTCTTTGAAGACTGGTGTGATACTGACTATCCTCCAGTCTTCAGGCATCTCTCCTGTTCTCCAGGACCTCTCAAAGATAAAAGAGAGTGGCTCAGCGGTCGTTTCTGCCAGCTCCCTCAGCACACGTGGGTGCATCCCATCAGGGCCCATGGATTTGTGTGAGTTGGTTTTGGCCAGACACTCTCTAATCATATCCTTCTCAACTAAGGGGAAGGCTTCCATTCCCCAGGCTCTCTTATGTCCAGGGTCTGAGATTCCTGAGGCGCAGTCTGATTAGTAAAGCTAGAAGCAAAGAAGGCATTCTGTATCTTCACCTTGCCAGCATCCCTTCTTGCCAGGGCCTCTACCTCTTTCAGTAATGGACTCACATTTTCCTTAGTCTTCCTTTTACTGCTGACATACTTAAAAACACCTTGCTTGCTTGTTATCCTTGACTTCCTTTGCCAAATTTGATTCCAAGTGGGCCTTGGCCTTCCTCATTGCATCCCTACAGGCTCTAACAACATTCCTGTATTCCTCCTAACCAGACAGGCCCTTTTTCCACATTTTATAGACTTTCTTCTCACCTTTGAGTTTATCCATGAGCTCCTTGCTCATCCATGCAGGCCTTCTGCCAACTTTCCCCAATTTTTCACTCTTAGCCGTGCACCAATCCTGAGCTTGGAAGAAGTTGTGTTTGAGGGCTGAGCAGCTCCCTCAGGCCTCCTTGCTTTCCAACGCTCAGCCCATGGGACACCTCCACGTACATCCTGGAAGAGGTCAGGGTTGGCAGTCCTACATGCTGCTTTGCTTCTCCCACACAAGATCCTGAACTCCATCATCTCATGATTGCTGCATCTCACGTTGCCCCCAACCTTCATATCCCCAGCCAGCCCTTCCTTCTTAGTAAGAATAAGGTCCAGCAAAATCCTTCTTCTCGTGGCTCCTTCAGATAGCAGGGAATGTTGCAAGCATGTGGAAAATGCTCTTGTCTTAATTTTTATGCTTTGTATTGCAAGTTTTCCTTTAGTCTGGTAGTCAAAGACCTTGGGTTCCTGGTATGAAAATTATCTGATCAGCATTTTTTCAAATGCTTTGGAGGAGCGTTTTTGTTTATGTGTATCCATGTTCTTTCATTCCTCCTGTGCCGGTTCTCCATTTCATTATCCATATTTGCTAGTGATGCACGTGGTTCTTGCAGTTATGTGATCTGCAGTCTAATTTAATGTGTAACAGTGAGTTTTATCTTCAGAACAGTAGGATTCAGATTAAACTGGGATAGTTACTGGCATTCATAAATCATGAAACCACAAAGAGACTTAGTTTCATATTTTTTAAAACACATGATGTGGAACTTCTCTGAATTATCTTTTCCTTGACTTACTAACACACACTTTGGGAAAGAGAAGGAAGGGAAGAAGGGAAGGAGAGGGGGAAAAAGAAAGGGAGGGAAGGAGAGAAGATGAAAAGAAGAAAGCCCCAGGGCTAAATGCAGCGCTCCAGATGGTGCCTCACAAGGGCAGAGTAGAGAGGGACAGTCACCTCCTTGTCCCTGCCTGCCACCGCTCTGCTGACGTAGCCCAGGATAGTGTTGTCCCTCCAGCTCTTTGTTCATCGGGACCCCCAAGTCCCCCCACTCAGCTTGGTGCCATCAGCAAACTTGCTGAAGGTACAATCAATCCGGCTGTCTGTGCCATTGATAAACGTGCTGAAGAGCACTGGGGGTCACCACTTGTGACCGGCTTCCTCCTGGACACAAATCCATTGACAACAGCCCCCGGCTGTGACCGTCCAACCATTTATTTATCCACCTAATAATCCAGCCTTCAAATCCATCCCTCTCCAATTTAGAGTTAAGGATGTGGTGTGGGGCCGTGTCAAAAGCCTTGCACGATTCCAGTTGCCTTTCCTCTGTCTGCTGGTGGCATCACTTCATCA